TTCCTAAATAACAGTGAAACATGGACTTAATGGAAGAAGTAAAAATGTTGGAGGATTTCCAAAATGAGTGCCTGCGCAAAATAATAATCACGCAGAAAACGCAGAAAATGCATCGCATCGGCCCAAACTCCACGACAGATGGCGCTCTCGCTCATGGGCTCAATCTACAAGTATCCTGAGTGTACGAAGGTGCACTGCATGCAGTTTGGAATCGGCCTAGACTGGTACCCGGTCGACAGTTCCACGCGCTACACTAACAGCGTCAGTGTAGCGAAGGGTACTTGCCGGAGTGAAGGTGGCGAACGGGTACCAGACTAGCATCGGCCGGGAATTTCATTATTTACGAAAAGTAAACACAGTCGGTATAGGAACCGGTCAAGTCGGTGACGCCCCATTCATGCCCATCAACGAAGAAGGCGGGGCTTATTCTGATTACGGAGATGCGAAAATGCAACAAAAGTACGTAGCGCAGTGCGCTAAACGACGTGTTATTTTCGTTTTTGTGCCAAACTCTATCGTAGGAAACCGTTCTAGCCTAGCAGAATGCCCTAGTTCCTGAGATCGGCGATTTCGTACTGTGATGGGTCCCCACCTATAAAAATTTATAAGTGCATCACGCCTAGCAGGATTAAAGCTTTTGGTTTGGCGTCAGCATATAATGTTGATTTGAGCTATTTTATCGTTATGCATAATTACGGTGCAAACTATTTTATCCTTATGCATAATGACGGGCACGTAAACACGCGAATGCCAGAAGATCTTCCCATTATATATATAAAGCTAAATTGTTATAGTTACTGTATTAATTATGCATTACTACACTTAATTATGCATAACTTTAAATTGGGTGCTTTTAAGTTTTAAGATTATTTTCTGTAAAATCTATATACGCATGCGCGCAGAAACACACACAACCACGTATACAGACGTACGCATACACACGCACCACGCACGCACGCACACACACACACATAACAAACAAACAGACCAACGCACAAACA